GAAGGGAGTCCAGCTAAGCCTGCCTGAAAGGGGACAGTGTATGAAGAGCACACAAAAGAGCACTGGGTGGGGGAGCGGGGATCCAGGGTAGAGGGTGGGTGACTGCACAGGGACAGCTGCAGAACAGCTTGCTGCTCCGGGGCAGTGCTCAGGGAGAAACAGGCCTGCCTCTGGCCCCCAGCCCTGGCCTGCAGCACTAGCAGATGTGATGTGCTCTCTCCAGGTTCATGCTGGCTGGGCTTTGCCCTAGGCCCAGGACTCTAATCATTACTGTAGGGGTTGTAGAGACAGCGAGTACAGGGGACCTTCCTGCACAACCCCTCCCCGGTAACAGCACTCGGCACACACGGAGCCAGCTAATCAGTGACACAGGCTCAGGGAAACCAAAAACCCTCACCTCCCAGAGTGCAGCCTCTGCTGGAGCTGGACCTGGAGTGCTGCCAGGAACCCTCCTTCCAAGGCCAAACAGGTGTGGTCTTGACAAAAGTGGTCCTGGGCTCAGCATTCAGTGAACAGTGGAAACCTCTTAGCTGTTGCCCTTTTCCAGCATTTGGCCAGGGCATCTCAGCCTCTGCAACTCCTCAGCTGGAAACACTCCCAGGAATCCACTGCAGGACTTCATTCATTCATTCACTCATTCATTCCACACCCTCTGAGCACATACTGTGCACCAGCCCTAGAGCTAGATGAAAGCCTTACACAGCTGGAAGGCTCTTGTGGGAGGAGGGCAGGTAGACGAGTGACCGCACATCCAACTGGGAGCAGAGCAGGAGATGCCTGGGAGCAGCCAGGTGGTCAGGCAAGGAGAGCTTCCTGGAGAAGGTGATACCTGAGATGTGAAGCCAGCCAGGCAGAGCAAGAAGAGGGTGTTCCCGGCACAGGACACAGGACATAAGGTCAGGTTCCCACAGCATCACACATACAGGGACCAGCATGACAGGAACAGGCCCAGGAGTGGGTCCACCTCTTGTTCTGGGAGCAGTTTTGTTCAGCAGAACACAGGACAGCATTCAGTCCACAGACACCGTCAAGGTCAGTGTCCATGAGCAAATGTAGCTGAGGCAGGTGGCTCCCAGCCCTGCCAGAGGGCTGCTGTGGTGGAGACCCATTGGCTTCACGCTGGACCTGCCAGCCCTGGCCCACGATGGCCCCCATCACTGGATACCATGTGGTGCCAGGAAAGTGAGGGCTGGAGCTTCAGATGCAGTAGCACGAGTCTGCCCTCTACTCAGCCATTTCTTTTTTTTTTTTGGAGATGGAGTTTTGCTCTTGTTACCCAGGCTGGAGTGCAATGGTGTGATCTTGGCTCACCACAACCTCCGCCTCCTGGGTTCAGGCAATTCTCCTGCCTCAGCCTCCTGAGTAGCCGGGATTACAGGCACATGCCACCATGCCCAGCTAATTTTTGTATTTTTAGTAGAGATGGGGTTTCATCATGTTGACCAGGATGGTCTCGATCTCTTGACCTCGTGATCCACCCACCTCGGCCTCCCAAAGTGCTGGGATTACAGGCGTGAGCCACCGCACCTGGCCCACTCAGCCACTTCTAACTACATGACCTGGATGGATCCCTGCTGTCTCTTGGTGTTGAGGGAACTAAGGATCCCATCCTGGGAGGCAGGAGGCTGCGTTCAAGTTCCCACCCAGGTACTGCCCTGTGGCATGACCTCACCTTGGCTTCCTCATCCCACTGGGCTCCACACCCTCCCAAGTCCCAGCCCCTGCTCACCTAGCTGGCTGTGGCTAGTGAGGCTGAGCTACCTGCAGACGATGGCATAGGAGAGGAAGTAGGTAGCAAAGGAGTGGCTGTCCCAGAAAAGCAGCGCTGAGCTGCCCTTGTAGAGGCTGTGAGGCCCCTCTTCACGGGCCAACATGGCCAGGCAGTGCAGCAGCACATGACATTTGGACACTAGACATGCAGGAGGCACAGGACACATGGGGGGCACAGATGAGGGCCCCGAGGCCGAGGGCCACCACTGCCTTAGCCACCTCAGTGGGTGAGGTCAGGAACACCTGCAGAGGAGGAAGCAAGGATAAGATGGCACCTACAGCTCTGCCTGCAGTTTGGATCTGGCCTCCCACTGGCCTCGTGTTGCCCATGGTGACCTCAGGGAGCCTGGGCCCCAAGACGCTGCAGGTTTGTCATTTGCTTCCTCTCCCTGCCCATGGGTCTTGAACATGATGCCACTTAGAGTGAGGGACCTGTTGCCCTTCATGGATATCCATGGCAGCCCGTGCTGGCCAGTCAGCCACAGGTGGCCAGAGGCTCTGAGCCAGCCTTCCCAGACCCCCACTCAGCCACTTCTAACTACATGACCTGGATGGATCCCTTCACCAGTGTAGGCCTCAGTTTCCTCATCTGTAAAATGGAAATTCTATAACCTAACACCACACAGCCATTGGGAAGAGAGCAGGCTCAGCAGCTGCAAAGCTCTGCAGCCCTGCCTGGCAAGCAGTAGACTATGAATACCACCAGTGCTGCTGATGTGCTGGGGGCTTGTGTCCGGCTTATTGCAGAGTGCCCCAGTGAACACCATTAGGTGTCTTTTGTGTTTTACTGGGGCATACTTGCAGAGGGAGATTGCCGACACAAACAGGGCCCCATCAGCTCTGCTTTTATCCAAGAAACACTTGCTGTGTGTCTATTTATATCACTTCCCATTGAGTTTCTGGTCTTCTCATAATCTGGGCCAAGCCTCCTCGGTCTTCATGGCCCCCTCGAAGGCCAAGCAGGTTCTGAATGGCACCCAGCCCTTTAGGAGCCCAGAGCTCACCTGAATGGTAGCCCTGGGAAATTAATGCTTCCAACCAATGGCAAGGCAAGAAACTCACACACCATGGTGGCAAACAACACACACCATGGATAAGGCAAGGATGAATGCCTTATCCACAAGAGGTCCAAGGTCCTCCACCCTCTGAAGCCCAGAGGGTACACCCTGGCAAGAGGTAAAATAGCAAGGTGGGCACTATCACTGCTTCATGCTGACTTGGTGTGAGGGTCCCCATGCATGGACAAGCTCTGAGAATCCTTCCCATCCTGGTTCACAGTTGACAAACCCGAGGCAAGAAGGATCATGGGTCAATGCAGCCAGGAGGGGTCTGGGCTGAGACATAAAAGCAAAATTACTGGCTGGGCACGGTGGCCCATGCCTGTAATCCCAACAATTTGGGAGGCTAAGGCAGGTGGATCACCTGAGGTCAGGAGTTTGAGACCAGCCTGACCAATATGGAGACACCCATCTCTACTAAAAATACAAAATTAGTTGGGTGTGGTAACGTATGCCTGTAATACCAGCTACTCAGGAGACTGAGGCAGAAGAATCACTTGAACCCCAGAGGCAGAGGTTGCAGTGAGCCACGATCATATCATTGCACACCAGTCTGGGCAATAAGAGCAAAACTCCGTCTCAAATAAAAAGAAAAAAAGCAAAACTCTGAGTTGGATCTTCCTGAATCTATCCTTGGAGACGGTCTCAACCCCCAGTCCCCATAGCCATCTGAGAATCACTAAAGAGGCTAGTTTAAATGCCGTTTTTGGCCAGGCACAGTGGCTCATGCCTGTAATTCCGTACTTTAGGGGGAGTTTGAGACTAGCCTGACCAACATGGAGAAACCCCATCTCTACTAAAAATACAAAATTAGCCAGATGTAGTGGTGCATGCCTGTAATCCCAGCTACTCGGGAGGCTGAGGCAGGAGAATCGCTTGAACCCTAGAGGCGGAGATTGCAGTGAGCCAAGATTGTGCCATTGCACTCCAGCCTGGGTAACAAGAGTGAAACTCCATCTCAAAAATAAATAAATAAATGCAGGTTTCACTGCTCCCTGGGGCTGATTCCTTAGGTCTGAGGTGGGGCCTGGAAATCTGCCTTCCTTGCTGTTTTCTAAGGCAGTGACTCAGCCCCACAGGAACCCACTGGCCGGCTCCAACCTCAGAGGTCTACAGAGGGGGAACATGTGGCCAAGGCCACACAGCAAGGTAGGCCACAGTCTGGGTCCCCTCACCGAAGCTGGGCTCCAAGGCTGCCAACTTGCTTGGGTTGGAAGGAGGCAAAACTGGTGGGGCACGGCCTGGCTCTGCACCCCACACCCAGAGGACAGCCAGGCTGTGTTCTTTTATCTCCCTGGCTCCATCTTACTACAGTCCATTGCAGCCCTACAGGTAGGAACTGTGTTTCTGATGTTTGTAATTCCAAAAATATGTTTTAGAAAACTGGTAGTAAGAAACGAACCCCCTTATTCACCAACATGGAGAAAAGCAGGCTGTCCGCCAGCGGGCCCATGTGCAGATCCCACCATATTCACAGCCAGGCCCTGTCCAGTGGAGGGGAGAAAGAAGACCCTGCCCTGGTGAAGCTGACATTCCAGTGGGTGCTGGGTGATGAAGGCAGAGAAACACTGGGGCTGGAGTGGAGGCTTTCCCCAGGGAGGATGTCTTAGCCCATTCTGGGTGCTGTGACCAAAAAAAAAAAAAAAAAAAATTAACTGTATGGCTTATAAACAGAAATTTACTCTCACAATTCTGGAGACAAAGTCCAAGATCAAGGTGCCAGCAAATTTCCCTCACCAGTGTTTGGTGAGGGACCACTTTCTGATTCCCTGTGTCCTCACATGGCAGAAGAGGCAAGGGGGCTAAGGTCTCTTAGAAAGGCACTTGGCTGGAGGCAATGGCTCACACCTGTAATCCTAGCACTTGGGGAGGCCAAGGCTGGAGGATCACTTGAGTCTGGGAGTTCAAGACCAGCCTGAACAACATGAAAAAACCTTATCTGTACAAAAAATGCAAAAATTAACCAGGCATGGTGACATGCACCTGTGGTCTCAGCTATTCAAGGCGCTGAGATGGAAGACTGGCATGAGCCCAGGAGGTTGAGGCTGCAGTGAGCCATGATCATGCCACTGCACTCTAGTCTGGGCAACAGAGCAAGACCCCATCTCTCTCACATACATACAAAGGCACCAATCCCATTCACTTACGACCTAATCACCTTCCAAAGTTCTTACCTCCTAAGGTTATCACCTTGGGGATTAGGACTTCAACATATGGGGAGTAACAGACACCAGGGCCTACCTGAGGGTGGGAGGGTGGGAGGAAAGAGAGAAACAGGAAAAATAAATAATGGATACTAGGCTTAATACCTGGATGACAAAATAATCTATATAACAAATCCCTAAGACATGGGTTTACCTATAAAACCTGCACATGCATCCCTGAACTTAAAAGTTAAAAAAAAAAAGGGACTTTAACACATGCATCTTGGTGGGGACACACATATTCAGACCATAGCAGGTAAGCCAAGCCCCTTCTGAGTAGGTAAGCTCCAATAAGAAAGCCAGAGAAGGGTGAACGGTGGGAGATGAGGTTACGTTGGGCCTCAGACACCATGGTACTGAACTTGGTTTTATTCTACTAACACAGGAGCTTACTGACAGCTCACCCCAACTTCCCAATCTTTGCCCAGGAGTTTTGCAACCTGCTCAGGTGGCTCCCATCCCGGTCGACACCAGCACTTGTCCCTAGCACCTGTTCTGTGCACTGCCCTGCACAGCCAACTCCTGGCAAGGTCTACACAGCTGACGCCTCATCTCCCTGTGACCCCTCAATGTGCCCTCTGGTAGCCTGAGCAGCCACCTTCCCCATCCTGGGTCCAAACAGCTCCTACTGGGGCAGCAACAGCTTTTGTCACTCAACTCCACAGATTCTAGGGTAGGGACAGAGGAGATTTGCTTTTCCTTTTTTACCTGCTAGTGTTTCTGATTTTTCCACAGTGAACCTGTCTCGTGTGGGAACTATAAAAGCTGCACACAAGGTAAACTCCAACACATCCTTTTCAGTGAAAGGGCTTGACCCTTGGGTTCCCTGGGACAGTCCCCCCTGCCTTACTGTCCTGCTGTGCTGGCATTGGGCCTTACCTGCTCCTAAAAAGTTGAGGTCTTCAGAGCTGGACAGAGCCCTGCCTCCTCCGGAATGGGAAGGTCCAGGGCTCTGTGGAACATGAGAGTTTGAAAAAGCACATTCAGTGCTGTCATTTTACGCGCAGGAAATGAAATAAAACAATAGACACTGAACTCGACTGTTGACATAGTATCACAGGCTCCAAGATGCAGGCATCATGAACTCATTTACTTGGTGCCAAGTTTTTCACTCCCCCTTTCTGGTCTCTTTTCAGCCCTACCATGGAAGCCCTGCCATGGAGGTTCAGGGATTTGTGCCCATCTTGTCCCCAGCATGGGGCACAGAGCAGTATAGCACCTAAGTGGATGATTTCTAGGCAGCAGGGAAATAGGGTGTTTAGGGAGACGAAAGTTTAGTAATCCAGCAGCATACCTGAGTGATCCCATCCCTGCCTAGTGCCTGTCCTCACTGCCTCCTCGATGTCCCCCACCCAATGTCAATTGTGCAGGACCAGGGGCACTCCAAGATGAAGGGGACAGACCCTGGAACCTGCCCTCTGGGTGCTTCCAGCTGAAGGCAGACCCTGACACCCATATCCTGAGGCACCCTTGGCAGGTCGGGTCAGTCAGACCTGTCCAGAGCCCACTCCTCCAGTGTCCCTCACATACTGACTTTTGTCCCCAAATCCAACAGGCCCTTACTTGAACACTGCCCACCCCACCACCAAACCAGTTCTATCTCCATGTTCTCCCTGAAAAGTGCACAGCTAAGGGCCCACACTCATATCTCCCAGGCCTTGCATGATCCCATGACTGCCTTTGTATGGCTTCCTCAGCTCTCTCACCAAATGAGCCTCCCTGCAAAAAAGTTTCTTTTTTATCTTTTTTAGACAGGGTCTGGCTCTGTCACCTAGGCTGGAGTGCAATAGTGTAATCATAGCTCACAGCAGCCTTGACCTCCTGGGCTCAAGAGATCCTCCCACCTCAGCCTCCTGAGTAGCTGGGACTAGAGCCAAGCAGGAATTCGCTGCCACTTCCTGCTTTTGTGTGTGTGTGTGTGTGTGTGTGTGTGTGTGTGTGTGTGTGTGTGTGGTTTTTCTGTTTGTTTCTTTTTGTAAAGACAGTCTCGCTATGTTGCCCAGGCTGGTTTTGAACTTCTGGCCTGAAGCGATTCTCCTGCCTCTGCCTCCAAAAGTGCTGAGACTACAAGCATGAGCCACTGCATCCAGCCTCAAGGAGGTTTCTGAAGCTCAACTATGGAGTGCCTACTGACTACCAGGCTCTTGGGCCCTTTCCCAAGGACCCCAGGGACTCAGAGCTCAGTGCAACCTGTCCCAAGCATAACATTAAAGGGATGTACTTCCTCCTAAAAACAAAGCAAAAGAGTCCACACTTGTCTCCTTATCAATGTTGCCATAATTTTCTCACTATTGCCACATCCTGTCAAGGTACTTTATTTTCCTCCCAAACCTCCAAAAACAGGAATGGATGTGCAGAGATCTGTGATTTACCTCCTGAGCCCTCCAGCAGCCCAGGGACACCCTGTTCCTAAGGTAAGTGACTAGGTGTAAGTTGTCCAGTGTAATCACCACACCTGCGGGAGGCCTCCTGCCACCTGAGTAGTCCCACAGCCAGCTCCAGCCCTTCCCCTGTCTGGGTCTGGGCTTCTCCTGGGGCCCCCAGGATACTGTTTTTCTGGCCCATGAGCCATTCTCCCCACTTCCCACACCTGCCTTCCTGAGGCACCCAGCTGGGTCAGAGAGGCTGACAATAATTCAAACCCAGGCCTCCAGACCCCTCGTTGAGGGCCCACCAGCCATCACAAGCCCTGGGACGTGGAGTCAGCTGACCTGGGGTTTGGATCTCTGCCTAATGAACATTCTAGTTCTACTCTAAAAGGAAACTACACGTGAGTGTTGGCCAGCCCCTATCACCAGGCTGCACTACTGACAACACCTACCTATGTGCCCACGGAACCTTTAGACCTGACCCTCCAGGCAGCACATATGCACTAAAATTCAGATAAACAAAACTGTGACCCTAAACTGGGAACTGTGGCGCAGAGTGTGGCCTTGCCTGCAGGCCTTACGGAAAGGAGTTGCGTCTGGCCTCAGGCTGTGATCTGACTCCTGCAGTGAAGAGACAGCCTCTGGCCAGGCCCTGCTCCCAGGCTCCAGTCGGACAGTCTGCACCTCCAGAGGCGCCGGAGAAGGGCTAGGGGAAGTCACCGACTGGGACCCTCCACAGGGATGGGGGTGGGGGGGGACTGCCACTGCGTATGTCAGGGATTCCTGGGGCGCGAGTCAGAATCGGCTCTCACTCATCCCTGTAGCCCTGTAGCCCATGAACACCCTGGTGACACAGAGTCAGCACCCTCCAACTCCAGCTTTGCACACTCTCTCCCCTCCACTGGCCACTGAGTGTGGCCCCTACCCGACCCCTCCAGTCTCGCCCCCACTGGCCACCGCTGACAGATGCACCGCGATCAGGCCTGGCTCCACTCCGCAGCTATCGGCCCTGTCGAGGAACCTCCTGCACTGCACAACCTTCTGTGGCTCCCATGACCTGCAGTCCAAAGGAAGGTGCTGTTGCTTCAAGGCCTGGCGGCGCCCTTTGCCCCAGGGACCCTTTCCATTTTAAAGCTGCCTCCTCTCTGCTCAAATCCATCCTCAGATCTCACCGGCCTGGGCACTTGCGACCCTCAGAACCCCAGGGGTTTGGCCAGGAGGCCAGAAGCCCAGAAGGCCATGGTCACCGCGGGCGCACAGGTGGGACTGGCGGAGGCTCCCCGAGGGGTTATTCACTGCCTGCGGAGTTTCACAACTAGTGGTGTACCTGCGGATCCCGGAGGGTCTCAGCGCTTCACGTCCGTTATCGCGGCAGGGTCCCCACTGCACAGGCGAGGACACCGAGGTTCCGCGACGGAGTTGGAATCCCAGGTCCTAGGTTCCCAGCCCGGTTCACGGCCAGCGCCGCCCCCTGCACTTCGGGAGGCTACCGGCCAGACCCCGCGGCCCCGCGCGTCGCCAGCCACCCGCGGGCGCACCAGCGTGCTCTTTTGTCTGTAGCACCCGCGCGCGCCCCGCCCACCCGCGCACACCCGGCCAATGAGACGCGGCGGCGGCGCTCAGGTCTCGCGGCGTTGTCCGCGCCGCGCTCACCCATTGGCTTCGCTCTGCGCTCCCGCCGGGGCCAAATCAGTCAGCCCGAGGGACTGGGCGCGCAGCCTGAGGTGGGGGACCGCGGCCGGAGCTGATGGAGTGAGTCTGCCCCGGTGGGCGAGGGACCAGTGCGGTTCCGGGAGCCTCACGCCCAGCAGCCGTCCCCGACCTTGCCTGCTCAGGTTGAGCCACGCACAGCAAGTCCCGGGACCCCGACGGCGCCCAGCCTGGCAATAAAGCCTCAGTAGGAGGAGAACGAGGAGGAAGGGTGGCCTCCCCGGGGACCGGGCAATGGGGCTCGACTTCCTGAATGGATACGCTGGGGTTAAAGAGGCGGTGGGATGGGCCGCGGCGCCCAGATTTCCCGGGCTGGAGCCAGGCGTTCGGGGTGGGAGGCCGGCTCACCTGCAAGCTCTTGCCCCGCGGATTCCTGCTGGCTGGGATCGCCGCGTCTGTAAATGGGGACGACAATGCTCTTGCCTCGTGCGGCTGTCGTGGGCGAAAACTGACTTCGGGCCCGGGGCGCCTAGCTCACTGTCCGAGGAGGCAGGTGTCTTTGCAGCCCCCCGGGGCACGCTTGGACGGAAGGTCAGGGGCATCTGGGCAGCACCGTGGCTTGGGGGAGGCCAGGACTGCTGGGAGGATGTCCCGCTGCTCCCCTGCACCGAGGTCACCGGCTCTTCTCCCTCCTCTCCCCTATCCCCATCTGGCGGCGCCCAACGGGAGCAGGGCCCCCTCCACCTCCATAAATTTGAGGGCTGACTCCATCCCCTCCTGCATAGCTGTCTGGGTAGGGTTGGGGCTACTGGGCGACCCCCTACCCCGCCGGCTTTGGAGGGCACTGAACCCCTCTAGCCAGACCCAAGGCGTGGAGTCACGCTTTTAGAACGCCGCCCCTTCCTACAAGGTTCTGTGAGCTGCTGGGGAAAGGCCGTGCCTCCGCGTAGTGAGGTGGGCCGGGAGAGCCGGTGTGGGGCACCCTCTCCGAGGCCCGGACAAGGGTCTGGGGTTCCTCCCCAAGCCGGTGTCCCCAGGAGGGCCCAAGGGGGTGTGCACTCCAGGCCCTGCCTGTTCCCCGACCGTGGGTATGAGGCATGGCACCTGCGTGGCCGCTGACTTATTTGCTTTTGCCTTGAGGGTTAATTTATTCAGCGGATATTCATCCACAGGCTGGGTTTAGCTATCAACTGGGGAGGCATGTGGTGTTGCAGAGAGGGCTGGCTGGTTATCCGGATCTGGTCCCGCGTCTCTCTTCCAGCACCGGCCCTTGTTCTCTATTCTTCATCTGTTTGGGTTTGGCTCCTAGCCAGCGCTAAGAGCTCTGGCGGGAAGAGTGGCTAGCGATGGCTTTAAGTATTTACACCTGTGGCTTCAGAGCCTGCTTCTATCTGGGCAAGAGAGGTTGGTCGAGAAGAGAGTGAGTCGGGGAAGTGATGTACGCTGAAGGGAGTTCGAACTTCCCAGCCAATTACCTCCTCAGACCTCTGGAAGCTTCAGAGGAGGAGAAAGTCCAGCTAATGGGTGGGAGGTTTCTCCTTAGTGCTGGGTGCCCTGGAGACAAAGGGAACCTCTTCGAATTCTGCTCTCACCTTCCCCTCTGCTCTGCAGTCTGGCTGTCTTTGCTCCACTCTTGGTCCCTACTCCTCTGCCCACCTCCAGGTCCAGCAGGTAGTGGTGAAAGGCTGTCCCCAGGCCAACACCGCCTTCCAACCTTTGGGGAGTGTGGATTCTTTCCCTAGAGGGTCAGGGTTCCTTCTGCAGTTGCACTGCAGTCAGTGCTGCTGTCTTGGGCACTATGAGGTTTGGGGAAGGAACACTCACCCTAAGGGCAGACCTGCTTGGAGACTCCCAGACACACCTGTACAGTCATTCCTCTGGACTCTGGCTCTTGCAGGCCTCCCTGCCTGGAATGCCCTTCTCTGCCCATCCTCATGGGCCTACCTGGGAGAGATCATGTCCACGCCCTCTGCCCCAGGTTTGTGGGTGAGGCAAGGACTGGCACTGTTGGCACTATAGTACTGAGGCACAAGCCACCCTCCCAGGCCCTGTTCTGCATGCAAGCCCGGAGCACATAGTACCCACCCAGCTCAAGGCTCTGCAAGCATAAGCCTGAGGCTCCAAGGTGGACAAGGACAGAAGTCACCTGGAGGCCTACTCGTGGTCTCATCTGACTGAGAAACCTAGGTCCAGTGGAGGGACTAGAGCAAAATCACCCACATGCTCCTCTGCTGGGCCAGGGTGGATCTACAGTTCTCTCATCCCTCTTCCAGTGTGTGGTGGCGGGCCCTCAGGATAGTGAGCTGAATCCTCGTGATATCCCAGGCTCCAGGCTCCAGACTCCTAACATGGCCTGGGTCACACTGACAGCCTGCTGGGAGGCACTCCCACCTTGAGTCCTAGACCCCAGAGGCCCCTGGCTGGTTCCTTCTTGGGGTCCCACCAACCTACAGGCGCAGGCCAGATGATAGCAGTCCTTCTCATTGGTAGCTGGCTGGTTATCCCCATCTGGTACCGCTGGGAGGGGGACTATCCATATCTTATTATTGTCATAGTGTGGGTTACCTGTTTAACTACTAAGGGAGGCCATCTAGATTAATAGCATCCCTGAGGCCTTGCATGAGGGGAAGGTTTGGAATGCATCCCTCCCTACCCTCCGCAGGGGGCCAGTCCCAAATCTTCAAGTCATGTAGACCTTGGGCTCTGGAGAAGCTCAGGTAGGGTGGGAGGCCCTAGAGGGGAGGACAGATCTGTCATCCTGGTGCCTCTTCCCACCATCTCTGCTGCCAGCTGCCCCCAGAACATTGGTCCCCTCCCACCCCACCTACAGACTCAAAACACTGGTCCCCTCCCACCCCCCAACCTAGAGAACCAGAGTTGGGATTATTCCAAGAGTTCAGCTTACACAGGACAGTAGGCAGTGGCTTTGGAGTTGGGAGGCAGGGTCTGCTTTTGCTGGTGTGACTGGAGGCCTCAGATTGCACTCAGGGAGGTGGTGAGGAGAGGCTTCCTGGCTCTCCCAGTGATGGAGTCCCTGATGGAGTCTGGCACCACAGCCCACTCTGTTCCTGAGGATGGATTGTTCTGGGTGAGGGAGACCAAGCCCCTCAGCGAAGGGTGCTGAAACAAGTCAGAAAGGAAAGTGGGAACCAATTTCTGTCCTTGAAGTCCTGAGTGGGGCCTCCCAACAAAGGCAAGTGGGATAAGAGTCTTTCTGCCCTCTCCCTCCCTTACCCTCTGTCCCAGAGGTTGCTGAAAGGTGTTGCTGCCCCTGGGCAGGTCTGGGGCCAGAGGCATAGCCATGCACCCTCAGGAAGGGGACCCCACAGCAGGACCTGGCTGCAGGGGACATTGGAGGGGCCTTGAGGGACCTCCAGCTGGAGGGAGAAGGAAAGCCAAGCAGCACATGTCGGGCAAGTGTTAGGTTTCCCAAACCCAGGAAATCCAGGTACTGCCCAAGAAAAAAGTTTCTAGAACTAGGATTTTCAAATTTAGAAAATTCAAAATATCAAATGGAAAAGAGGATGATTTTCCTGTTTCTGGGAAACAGAGGCCTCCTAGAAAACCAGAAACACAGGTGGAAGTCACGAAAGAAAAGATAGGCTTGGTGGATGTCTTTCCATCTACCTGTGAATGTTAGGGGCTCTGGAAGGAGAAAAGGAAGCAGATCTGGAGATGGTGAATATCATCAATAAATAATAGTTGAAATTTTCCCTGATCAGAACAGGGCGTGCATTTGCACAGTAAAAAGGTTGGTAGAATTCCAGTCAGGGTTACATTAAAGAAAAAGACACACCCTTGGCATCTTCTGTTGCATTCTTGAAATCCACAGATAAAATCAGAGGCTTCACAACAGAATAAATAAATAATTGACAAAGGAGGAAGAAAAAAAAAATCACATTGGCAGCAGATTCCTCATCTGTAGCACTGAAAGCCAGAGGACTCTGGCTGGCCTGGGCCCAGAAGCCTCACCAGAATGTTAACACTCTTTCCTGACCAGACTAAGAAATATATTTTGCAGACGAGCAAGAGGAATTCAGAGGATATTTCCTGCTTGCATTACATCTGAGGGAAATCATCAAAAAAGGCTCTAATGAAATGGGATAAGAGTCTTTCTGCCCTCTCCCTCCCTTACCCTCTGTCCCAGAGGTTGCTGAAAGGTGTTGCTGCCCCTGGGCAGGTCTGGGGCCAGAGGCATAACCATGCACCCTCAGGAAGGGGACCCCACAGCAGGACCTGGCTGCAGGGGACATTGGAGGGGCCTTGAGGGACCTCCAGTTGATCAGAGTACAGACCCCAAGATGGAAGGAGAGGGAATCATCATTAATTGAGTCTCACAGTTTATAGGAAGGTGGGAGGGATGGGAGCCTTCTTGGGGTAACTCTTACTGGGGTGGGTAGGGCAGAAGAAAGCAGAGAGAGTCCTAGGGGGAGGCAGGTGCTTACCCTCTTTCTATATAGTGATTAGGAAGCAATCCTTTGCTGAAATAACAGATTAACAATTAGAATGAGAATAAATAGTAATTTGCCCAAACCATCAAAAATATGGAAGGAGTAAAATAAACCATTCACATAAAGTGACATAAAAATGTCAGATCCCTCAGTTGTTCCAGCAAAATCTGAGACTGCCTTAGACTGGGTTAGAAAACAAAATCCAGCCATAGTTGTTTACAAAAAAAGTTTGAAACAGGCTAGTAAGAAAAGGTTCAAAATTACAAGTTGGGTCAGGTGCAGTGGCTCACACCTGTAATCCCAGCACTTTTGTATCCCAAGATGACTGGGTTGCCTGAGCCCAGGAGTTTTGAGATCAGTCTGGGTGACATGGCAAGACATGTCTCTACCAAAAAAATTACAAATATTTGCTGGGTGTGGTGACTCATGCCTGTAG